TAAAATATAATTAGTAATTAATAAATTATTCTGTACAAAAATATTCTCATTATCTTTTCCTCGTTTTTATTTTATTCTTTATTTTTTAACATTTTTTAAAATTTTAGTAATTTCATTTTTTTTTTTACATTCTCTAAAATGAGAATATCTTTAACATAGATTTTAATTAATAAATAATCATTAATTAGATTAAGTTTAAGTATCAAGTTTAATTAATTAAGTTAAGTATCAAGCATTCAGTACCAAGATATAATCCCTAAAAAATAAAATTCTTATGATTATTTTATGTTTTGTTGTTTTTTTTTTCGTTTATTTCAAGTTATTGTCAATACATGTCATGCATCAATTGCAAAAATCATTGGACTGGTGCTTTATTTTCAGTGACCAATCAAGGGACCGCGCTCTGATTTATTGGTACTTTTGAATATCCGATCAGAATTAAGTCTTGTGATCGAACATTGCTCTTGTAAATCGACTCTGGATTCTATATTCTCAAGACATCCTTCTTCTTCCAAACCGCTGTCATAACTTCTGATTTCAAATTAAATTGCAAATGATCAACATTTTAAAGTTTTCTTTTTTCTTTTTTTCTTTAAATTAACCAGAATATTCTTAATACGGATTGATATAATATTAAGATTTTAGAATGAAAATGAGTTAATTTAAGACATTATCTATAAGTAATGTGAGGCAGTGATAATCAATGATAAACAACGTGAAACTGAACTTTTAATTATTTATAATAATTTATAACATGATATGTTAGTAATAATAAATTGCGATCAGTGTGTAAAAATAATTTTATAATTTTATATTGAATCTCCTCCTTTTGATATTTTTCTTTGATATTTAAATTTTATAATTTTATAAAATTTATATACACAATATATAATTTTACATATTTTTATATAATTTTTATTTATATGTAATATTATATTATTTATATATATTAATAATATAATATAATATAATATTTATATATAATATATTTCCATATATTAATTTCTTTTTTTATAGAGAGCTAGAAATAATCTAAAAATCACAATTAACGCCATCTTCAGAATATCAAAAATAGAAAGTACATAAATAAGGACAGCAAATACTAAAGAATTAGTATAAGCGGCGCCATCTCCACTCCACCGAAGGAACTATCCAAACAAGGAGAGCAATAGTGAGAAAAGGATAGATACATAACAATTATAAAGAATTGGGACAAGCGGCGCCATCTTCACTCCACCGAAGGAACTATCCAAACAAGGAGAGCAAATACTAAAAAAAGGATAGTCACATAATAATTATAAGGAATTGGGACAAGCGGCGCCATCTCCACTCTACCGAAGGAACTATCCGAACAAGGAGAGCAATAGTGAGAAAAGGATAGACACATAACAATTACAAAGAATTGGAACAAGCGGCGCCATCTCCACTCCACCGAAGGAGTAGGATAGAGAAGGATAGAGATATAACAAGAATTGGGACAAGTGGCACCATCTGTTGACGATTAAAGACATTAATTCGAAAACGTGAAACACGTAATAAGAATATATTAGCAGTGGCATCTCTTGAATATATAAGACATCTCTCTAAAAGCACATTGAAAAGAGTGTAAGAATTTATCATTATCGCTATCTTTTGAGTATTTTTGGAATATTTTTAATATTCATGAGTTTCATTTCCGATACACTGATTATGGTACTGATTATATAATTTTTACTTATCTTTATCCTTATTTCATTATTTGCTTTCCTTGCTCTCCGTGTTTTATTCATGGTTTATTATCGCATGAAAATATTTGATGTTCTAATATTTAAATGAAGCATTTGAATGTTATAATTTTTAATATTTTTAATAAAATAATTTATTAATTTTTAGTAATTTATTAATGTAATATAATAAATAATTTATTATATTTATTATAAAAATTTTTATTTTTTTTATTAAGTTATTAAGTATAGTTTTTTATTAATTAATTATTAATTATAACTTATTATAATTCAATATCAATCACTGATTGATACATTTTATATTAAATTGTAATATGAATATGGGTAAAATGATTATTCATCCACATCGGTACATAATGTACATGTAAAAAAATAAGTAGATATTTAATATATATAAAGTATCAAGATATCAGTTTATCAGTGTAGTATGCATGTGTATGTGCGCCTGTATGTCTAATATTACATGCTTAAAAGTGTTTTTATTATTTTTATATTAATTTATATTTCATTAATAAAATAAAAAAGTAACAATGGCAGAATTTGTGGAAAAACGATGCGAGGATATGATTCCCGAATTAGAACAAATGGAAAGAATTAAAATTTTTGATAAAAATGAAATTCGGTAAGTGAAAAGGTTATTCTGTGATGTATTTCGAAAAAGAATTAATATTTTTATGAATTATATAGAGGAATTGCAAAAAAACTCAAAGAATATGAATATAAAATTCAGCGACATATGAAAACTAAAGAAGATTATCTAAGATATATACAATATGAAATGGATCTACTTAAATTAATTAAACAACGCAGAGATGTATGTTATTACATATTAATAAATAATTAATTATAATATAATTATAATGTCTTGCATCCTGATCATAAGAACAAAATGTCTAATTTGTAAGGCAGGATTTATATAGGATATCAAGAATTTTATTTCTGTATGAATAATAAAATAAAATATTAATATTTCCTTTATTTATATTAAATAAAATTTATTAACTAAAATAAAAGCATTTCCAAAAAAATAAATAATTTGGAAGATAAAATTTTAACCAGAATGCAAGATAATATTTAATAATGTATTAAGAATATAATTTTTTATTAAAAAATGTAAAAATTTGTTTTATTTAATAGAAACTTGGTATTATGCAAAAGAAATCAGATATTGATTATACAATTATAAATAAAATAAATCATTTGTATAAAGATGCAATATTTAGATTTCAAGATGATATTCGTTTTTGGATTGCTTATATAAAATTTTGTAAGCATGTTGTAAGTATTTAATTTATAATATTTTTATTAAATCTTTTAAATTATTAATTTGTAAATATAAATATGAATATAAAATGTGGCAGCATTTTCATAACAATGTTAGTCACATGTTAGGTAGAATGTTACAAGTTCATCAAGATAAACCTAAATGTTGGCATATCGCAGCACGTTGGGAATTAGAAGAAAATAAAAATAAACAAATTGCACGTCAATTTCTTCTTCGTGGTTTGCATATACATCCAACTTCTCAATTATTATTTATTGATGCTTTCAAGTAAATCATTGCATCTTTTATAAGTTTTTAATATTTATATTATTCTTATTTCTTTAAATATTAATTTTATGGCTTAGATTAGAATTAGATGAGGTATTAGTTAATGATCAGAAGAATGAAAATAGTGGTGACAATACAGTACAAACTGAGACTGATGATGATATGAGTATTGGACTAAAAAGAGCTTATATCATTTATCAACAAGCATCAAAACGAATTAAAGATATTAGATTTATAATAGAACTATTAAATATTGCAAAGAATCATAATAATACAGAAAAATTACAAAACAAAATTCTTAGGTAAATATAATAAATTATATTAAAATTGTTAATTATTTTTAATTTGATTTTAATACTTTTTTTAGTGATATGATACAAGAATATACTCATGAACCTCTAATGTGGGATACAATGGCCCGACGAGAATTAGAAGGACTTCTTCAACCTTCTGTTAGTAGTAATACAACAATGAAAATTGATTCAGAAAAAACATCATTAAGAGATCGTATAACATCTTGTAATAAAGTTTATCAAACAGTAGTTAAGAAAATTAAAACTGAAGAAATGTGGTCTTTATACATAGAATGTTTAATAGAAATTAATCAAAAACCTGGAGCTTTACCAAATTTTAAAAGAAAATTATTAAAAACTGCTTTATCACAAGCACATCAAGTAAAAAAATTAAAAGAAAAATATTATTTGTATTGGGTTAGTGACATTTAATTAGTATTTATTGAATAAAATAGAAAAGAAAAATTTTTAATTGTAATAATATTTCTTTAGATCAATATGTTAAGTATTGAAAATAAAGATGAAACAACCAAAAATAAATTAAAAGAAATTCTAAACACAGCAACTGAAACTATATCAAACAGTATAAGTCTTTGGCATGCCAGATTAAGATATTTATTTGCTATTGGAGAAGAAAAAGAAGCTGAATCTGTATTTTTGAAGGTACAATTACATAAGGAATTATTTTTAATTCTATATTGATATTATATGCATAATCAATTTTTTAGGCAATACAGATACTTGCAGAAAAATCATTACCTCTATGGAAAATAAAAATATTACATATACAAGCAAAGTTTCCTGAAAAAACTGAACAAGTTTTTCAAGCAGCTTTACAAGCACATCCAAGTATTGCTCAAGAAATAAAACCTACTTACATTGAATGGCTAGTTCTAACAAAAAGTATGTTTTTGTTAGAATTTTAATTAAAGTATAAAATTACATTTGATTAATGATTATTACTTATTTTAGGTATACAAGAAGCACGAAAAATATATGATAATCTTTGTTTACAACCTCCTTTTTCTCTTGAATTGCACAAAAAAATGATAGAATTAGAACTTATGCAACCTGAAATATCATTAAAACATATAAGAAAATATTATGAAATGTCAACATTACAATTTGGCAAAAATAATACAAATGTTTGGATAAATTATATTACATTTGAAATGAAACACGGTGATCCAAAGAAAGTTGGAGAATTACATGAAAGAGCAGTAAAAACTTTAGAACCAATATTGACAGATTTATTTATTTCAGAATACAGTTTAATTAAAGCCAATCCAGATGCTATTAAAAATGATATACAAACATTGCATACATAAATAGTAAAGTGTGTGCAATGGAAATATTAAATAATACAATAAGTAGATATTTTATGTATCTGATAAATATTCTTTTTAAATTTATATAAAAATTCCAATCAATTCATGATTCAAGTGGTATTTCTTTTTCCATACGTGTAAGAACAATGTTACGATCTGTTTCATTTGGCAATCGTGTTCTATCTCCTGTTTTTAATGTTGCTCTCATATCTAAACACATCACATCTGTTGCTAAAGAATGTTGCTTGTCATCTAGATTTCTATCAACTTGTAAAAGTAAACCTTCCAAATTATTATATGCTCCTCTAAAAAATAATAAATATATATATCAAATATAAAATGTTAATATATTCGCGAAAAACCTTTAGATAATTATTATATATAAGTTCTAAATAACTACAAAAATTAATATGCATTAATTAACATTTTGTATACCAATTTTTCTATTTGTTATTAAAATCAATCAAAGGTTTTTCACAAATATATTAATATTGTAAAATATATTTTAGTCACTTTATGAAAAATATGTTAAAATATATTATCTAAATTATTGCACCATTATACATACTTTGAATTTTCCAAAACTTTAGTTAAGTCTTTTTCAGTTTGTGTCAAGTTTAAAACTTCATCTTTTAAACCTAATTCAGCTTCATCACGACAAAGTTCAAAACCAGAACGGTAAGTACGATTTTCTAATCTTGTTTGTGCACATTTTATTGAATCAATTTTATGTAGTAAAGCATCTTCTTGTCTCACTATTTCTTTCTGTAAAATCTCCATTTCCTTTTGAATCTACATATACATATATAAATTATAATCAAATTTATATGTTTATTATATGTAAAATGTTAATGATAATTTTAATTTAAAAAATTATAATTACTTTAAGTTTTTGCCATTCTAATTCATTTCTAGCTTTTTGCGTTTGATATATTCTTTTACGTAAACTAAAATCCGTTGCGTCTTGTTGAGCTTTAATATCGTTTCTAGCACGTTCACGCATTACATTTAAAGCTTCTCGAAAAGTATATACATCGCTTAATTCATTATCAGCTAAAGTTTTAATATAACGACAATGTTCTAACCAAGCTTCATAAGATATTGAACTAAAAAAATAGAATAAATATTTATATTTATTTCATATATTATATATAAATATTTATTGTTACCCTTTTGGAATTCTTAATGCATTTGGTTTATAGCTAATATTTGCACATGTTCTATCTAAATTAAGATTTTCTTTATCTATTTTAATAGTTTCATCCTTATCCTCCACTTCTAATTGCATTGTAAATCTTACTTCTTCTAAACGATTTAGCTTTTCCCATGAAGCTTGCACTCTACATAAAATATTGTACGTTCATAAACATATTTAAATATGTACATATTTTTTTTATAGTTACCTTTGAGTTAATAATTTTTTAATATTTTCAATAACGCAAAGTTCTTTCTTCAATTCTGTATCAGCTTCATCATATGTAAGTTCTGTTCCTCTACGACAATCTCTCATAGAAATACATTCTGCTGTTAATTGTAATGGAAAATTTAAAGTTTCTATTTCTTTTTCTGTATCAACTTTTTCATCTCGTAATAATTTAATTTCTGCAACTAATTTGTCTAACAAATTCTGAAATAATTCTCTCCAACGTGATAATTCTGTTACTCTATAAATATAATATAAAATAAAAATTTTTCTTATATATGATTTTAAATATTCATTACCTATCTGCAAGACGGGTATTATTCATGTAAGTATCCCAAATAGTCTTCACCATTGTCTCTGAACAAACAATTTTCCCTGTATTTCTTAATTTAAATGCATCTTCACTTTTGAAAGCTGCATTTTGCTGAAGATCCCACTGCTTAGCATACCAATCTGCTAAACCTATTATGAAAAAACATATTTCATATAGAAATTCAAAAATGATTAATTTATTTTAAAAATATACATAATATTTCGATTTAATATTTCAATAAATAAAAAAGTAAAAAAAACATAATATTTAAAAAATTTTATTTAAAAAATTATATACATAATCGAAAATCATACTTACTTATATGAGGTAAAGGTTTTTCATATGTAGTTACAGACTTAGCCATAATTTAAATAATTATTAATATATAATGTTTATATAAAAGTCTTATAAAATGTACTGTCTTAATGATATCGGAAATAATAAATTGATATTTGGTTACCAAAGCAACGAAATATTGATTTAATATTTTATTCTATTTGATTATAATATTTTTATAGAAAGAAAGTCATTTTTAAATAAAATTATTCAAATATTATAATTTATTGTAATGAGAAGAAAAATCTACCATAATATATTAATAATTTAATAATATTATATAATAAAGTAATATTATTTTATTAATTTATATTTTTTAATGATCATATATGTTTTTATTATAATAAAATATATAATAAATTTTATATAATTTTTATTAAAAATTTATTATATATTTAAAAATATAACTAATATTCCGAAAAAATATAATTTTTTTTAATTAATTTAATAGAAGTCAAAGGACCTTGTTGCATCCAAAATAATTATTTTTAAATTTATTGAAAATCATTTATAAATATTATTTAAAATAATTAACAAAAAATAATCAAACAATTTTTTACATTAATTTATAATCATACATAAAAATTATAAAATAAATGAAATTTAATATTATTGTTTTTCATTTATTAAAAAATAGAAAAAAAAAAAGAATAATAAAAATTTAATTCATTTAATAAAAATTTTCATTTTCGAAAAACAAAGTTTTTAATTTTAAAAAATAAAATGCATGCAGAAACAATAAGTTTAAACTTCAAGGGGGTTAAAATGAAATTTAAAAAAGAAATTTTTAAATTTTTAATACTCGGATTTATATATTATTATAATATAATTTATTCATCAAATTTTATATATATTCATTTTGTTTATAATTTAAAAAAATTTTTAAAATGCATATAATCATTATTTCAACAAAGTGCGTTGTATTAAAATCTTTGTTTCAATATGGTGCTTGAGACCTCAGACTATAGTATAACCCGCCAAACCATTTTCGTGTTGTTTCTGAATATAAAGAATAAAATCATTAAAATTATATGAATAAGGAAGTGTTTGAATATTATTAACGATTTATAAGTTATAAGTTCATAATAAAATAGAAAAATTTTAGTTGTGAGAATAGTATGCGTAGATTAAGTATGAAAACTAAGCACACTAAATCTGAAACAAGTAATAGCAATTCCGAGGAAAATGGCGTCGGTCATTTAACCATAGTTGACAATAATAACGAAATGAAGAAAGGAAAGGAAAATAAAAACGCGGAATCACCGCGCAGAGGTACACCCAAAAAGCGTCCCTCGCGTAATCGTCATAGTCAGAAAGAAACAACTGAAAATTCTACTCTGAAGTCCGAAATTGAAGATACTCAAGCTGTAGATCGAGAAGAAGAAAATAAGAATGTCGGAAAGGCTGGTCCTAGTAAGAGACTCAAAAAAGAGGATCAAAAAACATCTTCTTTAATAAAACAAGAAGGAAATAATGAAAAAGAATATGAGGTATGTTAGATATCATATTTATTGTATTTATTATATATATATATTACAATTATATGTTTACATGATATATCTATAAGTATGCATTATTCACTTTGATTTTTTGCGATCATAAAAAAAGATATTATATCTAAGACATTTTAATTATTAATCTCATCTTATAAAATAAATTATTTTTACAAGAAACTTAAATAAATCTAACGATGTTTATACACATACACACACACACACACCACACACACACACAATACATGCATTATATATATCATATAATAATGTTATATTATTGTATTTATCAATTTTCATTAAATCATTATTTATAAATTGCTAAATTGTTGCATTGTTGAATAATAAGTAAAAGATTTAAAATAAAGTAACTCATAAAAAATAAATATTAATTAATATTGTCATCTTATTTTTTAAACATTCCTAATATAATTATAAGACACAAAGTTGATATATGATATATTGATTCGTTTTAATATAGAAATTACATAAAAATTATTCTATGAAAATTCATTTTTATTAAATTTACTATAAAAAAAAATGCAAAAGTTAACCTATATATTCGTATTTAGTCACGAAAGTATATTTATTGAAGAATACATTGTTAGTTGTTAAATACAATATATTTTTCAAAATTATGAAAAAAAATTAAATAGAGTCATTAAATCCTATATAGAGTCATTAAAAAATTATTTTATATATATATTGCCAATTATCTTTCGATAACTATATATTTATCAACTTAACCAAATGTCTTTTATTTTTAATTATTTTGATAATCTTTCCAAAAATTAAATGATACATAACTAATGAAAAAAATTAAAAAAAAAGAAATCGATCGATTTCAACGACGATCGAAAAGAATTCGTGTTAGCATAGACAACCGCCTTACGGCGGCCGGAAAAAATCTAACTTAATCTAGTAATCGCAAAATGATCAATTATAATAGTATAAATTAATTTTTCCTTTTTTAAAATTATTGATGCGTTAACTTGCATTACAATTCTACAACTTAACACAATATATAACAACAATTAATATCTTGTATATTATATATTATGTTTCGATTTATTATATCGTTTTGCTATTGATTGCAATTAAAATAAATGTATGTATAACATAATTATTATAAAATCGTTTCAATGCGAAAATTTAAAGTAAAGTTTTTTAAAAAAGAGTTTTCCGTAAAATAATTTTTATATATTTTATAATTTTATAAATTATATTTATAATATAATAAAAATTGTAATTCCTTGAAATCAATTGATTGTATCATATGTTTATATTTTATTTTTCATTTAAAAAATTATAAAATACAATTAAAAATAATTTATGTAAAATTGATTTAATAAAATTAGTGAAATATAATAATTATTAATTATCTAGGTAGAAAAAATTGTGAGTCAACGTACTATCAAAGGTCAACGTCAATTTTTAGTTAGATGGAAGGGATATAGTGAAGATTCTGACACATGGGAACAAGAAAAGGATTTAAGTTGTCCAGAGTTAATAGAAGAGTTTTTAGCTGAAAACACAGAAAATGAAGAAGATATCAAAGCTAAAAGGTTGGAGATTTCTCCAAAATCACCAAAAAATAAAGTGGATAAAAAATCTAAAAAACCTAAAAATAATACAAAAAAACAGACAGAAAATGGTATTATTTTATTTTTAGAAAATTTTTAAAAATGATCTATTATTATATAATTTTTTTAATTAAATATAGGTAAACAAATAATAGCATCAGATGAAGAAAAAGATATAAAAGATGATCAAAAAGAATTTGAAGTAGAAAAAATTATAGAAGTACATTTTAAAAAAAATAAAACAAGAGAATTTTTAATTCGTTGGAAAGGATTTACATCAGCAGATGATACATGGGAACCAGAAGAAAATTTAAATTGTCCAGAATTAATTGCAAAATTTATGCAAAAAGTTGAAAAAGCTAAAATTACAGAAGCTCGAGAACTTCGAGCAAATCGTCCTCATACAAAAAGGTACACACTAACTACACATGAGCATGGAAGGAGATTATCTCGAAGAAATATGGACAAACAAAGGTAATTTTATTTCTAATAAATATAAATATTATATATAAACATTTAGATTTTTCTTTAAATTAAAATTAATTATATTCTTTTTTTCTGCAGAGCTACTTATCATGAATGTGATGAATAAGTAATTATAGAATAGCAAGATTACAAAAAAATTATATTCATATATAATTTGCTTTCTGAAAATGATAAAGATTAATTTAAAAAAAATGGGGATTTTTCTATTGTTTAAATTTGTATAAAGTACAACAGATATTACTTATATATATAATAAACTATCATAATTATATAATGTCTGAGTTTCTCAGGCAACAATTTAATTGGTAGTTTTTCCCAAATTTTGTTCTGTTTTAAAAGAGTTAAAATATCTTATAGTATTATTTATATACATAAACATATATATATATATCTTATGTTATTTGATATTTTATATTTTTCAAGTAAAAAGAGTTTTTTCAATTTTCAAAAGTTATACAGAGCCTATTAAATCGCATATTTATTATATATTATTACACATCATATAATATAATGTGATCTTATAATTATTTTATATTTAATGCAATCTATCAAATATTCATCAATTCAATAAATATTTTTTATTATATGTACGAAAATAAATATCTAAAAATGTTATGACAAAATTTTAAATAAAATAAAAAGTAGTAATGAATAAGTTTTTAGTAAATGATTGGTATATAAGCATATAATTAAGATATGCATACATGATGTAAAAATAATTTGTGAATAATATATAAAATATAACTTTATTTATAATTTGTAGTTTTAGAATGATTACATAAAAATAATTTAATAATTTTTATTAATTATAATTCATCATACAGTATTAATTTTATTAATACAGATATTATATATATATATGATAAATTTGATTATTTTTAAAAATTTTCATAACATATTAATAATATATCTGTTAATAAAACAAAAGAGATAAAAACATGTAATAGATTCAAATGTTTTATTTTGCAATTTAGATATTCTTATCAATAAATAATGAATTAATTTTTTTAATATATGAATTGTATTTTTAAAAATACAGTGATTTTATGTACAAATAGTTTATTTTATAATCTTCTAATTTGTATCATAATTATCATAACAAAATTATCATAATTATCATGCAACTTAAACGAACAAGGTTGGAAATGATTGATACCGAGAAAAGGTATTACAATAATATTGATCAAAATGAAAGTGGTTCTTACAATTGGAAATTATTTCTTACATTATTCATCATCTTAATTATAATAATTTTATTTATAACGTTTTATCGTTATATCTATGGACAAATCATTTATATTTTTAAAAGGTTTATTATAATTTGTTTGTGCAATGTAATATTTGTATATATTTTTTATTTATAATATATATACATATATGTATATGTATATACATATATGTATGTATATATATATATATGTATATATATATATACACACACACACACACGCATATTTAGTTATTGATTACTATACTAAAATTACATTCATAAAGATATATAACTCGGCGAAATGAAGATAAGAGTGATGGCATCTTTTCTAAGATAAAAGAAATTTATAAAAAACGTTTTTTAAAATCTTATACACGTAATTCAAAACTTAACATGAAACATGATGAACAAAGGAACAAACAAAATGAAAATAAATATAAATTGAAGACTCTTTTACAAGTACTATAAAAATATATTAAAAATTGTTATATAAATTAATAATCACGATAATTTAGTTTTTATAAATATACATATATAAAAATTTATGATTAGGAAAAGAAAAAATTACTTGCTCCAAATCAGAATAAAATAGTAACATCAACTAAAAATATAGATTTAAGAAAACAATTATCTTGGAAAATGTCTTTCTCGTGTTTTTCATCAGCTTGTACTAAGTACAAACATGTACCTAAACCAATATCAAATAAATGGAATATTAAAGATTTTGAAAATTATAAATACAATGAATTAAGTTCTCAAAATATAAAAAATCTTTGTAAAAACTCACATCAGGTATTATTTAATTAATATTTAATTTTATATTGAATGTAATTTTTTAATTAAATATTTTTTTTGTTCTAGAATGATAAAGATATTTGTTTCTCAGACACAGATTTTAAATTTTTAACAATATCTTCAAAATCTGATAGACAAAGTAATGAACAATTATTAATATGTAAATTGAATTCAGGAGATATTTACAATTCTAAAAGACAGATTAGTTCCAAGCAGATAGAATTAAAATTTGAAAGTACAGATTCGTTTAGTGATAATACACAAAAATACAAAATTTCTATATCTAAATCAAGCTATTCACCTTATTCTTTATTAACAAAAAATTTAGCTAGTGATTCAAAATATTTCTCAGATTCTGCAATTGATAAATCGGATATTTTATCAAATACTTTTCTTGGCAAATTAAAGAGGTTTTTAATAATTTATAAATATGCTATTGAATCTAATTTAAATTAATAGATTAATTATTTTAAATATTTATATAGATCAAACAATTCTTATACAAATTCTACATTATCAAATACATCTAATATAATTGAAACAAAAAATCAAATTTTACATATAAACTCAAAAACTGAAAATACTTCTATGTGTACTATAAATAAAAGTGATACAATTGAAAGAGACAAATCAAAATTAAAAATAAACTCGCAAATAAACTTAGATAAATGTGCACATTCAAAAAAATTACAACAAAAAATGAAATCATCAATAGACATATTACAAAATGAAATAAAAGAATCTAAAAGTTTTGTAAAAATATCAAAATCAGATAAAAATTTCAGTACTTCATTAGCAAAAAACAATTTCGATAATTTTATTAATTGTAATTTAAATAATTTTACTACAGAACAAACATCTATTTCTACACCTAAAAAATTAGTTTCTAATAATGAAAATATTTTTACTATACCAAATCATAAATCAGAAATAAGTGAAACCTATGATGAATTAGCAATATTATTTGCACAATACATGAAACTTCAAACTCGATTGTGTCAAAGAAAATATTGTTTTTTAAAACGATATTTAAAACAACAAACACAACATACTACAAGGAAATGTCAAATGAGATTTAATTATCATCGCATATATCCTTATGATCAAAGACCAATGTGCAACAGTGGAAATATATGTATAGATACATATGATGAATTAAAATTGATGTCTACATCACCAGCAGAAAGAAAGAATATTTACCAACATATGTTTAAAAGAAGAAAGCATTTTTTAAATCAGCCATGCATTTTATCTCTCTCTAATTAAAATCTTACAATATTTGAATGAAATTAAGAAACCAATTTTTGATTATTGATTATAATTTTCATTATTTTTAAATCCATTTTTATGTAATAATAAGAGAAATAAACAATATATATATGTTAAAAAGTTAGTTTATTCTATCAATTACATACGTTCACTTCTTTTTACTTCTTTTACTTGAAGGCCTAAAAATATATTAATATTTATTAAAAACAAAATTTTAATTCAATATAATTATTTTTAATATATATTTTTATTACATACCAAAAAATTATATAATTCATTATTAAATAAATAAATACCTGGAGGTAATGATTGTTTCAATTTTTCTGCCTTTTCTTTGTCTGTAATAACAAGAGTATATAAGAATCGTGAACATCGAACCTTGAATTTAACGTTGTCGGCATTTTTCTTGATTTTCACAGCTAAATTTTTATAATAAAAAAAAAATATATATATATGTATTTATATAATATTATAAATAATATAAAAGAATCTTTAATACTTACATTTTGCATCTTTCCTTCTAGCTTTTAAAAGAAAATCTTTGATTTCTTTGATTTCTCGAGGCTAAAAAAATTTCATACGTTATTGCATTGTTCAGATATTAATTTGAGGTTATGTTATATTAATTTATCATATTTTTAATGTATCTATTAATGTTTGTGATATTGCAAAATAAAAATTAAATTAATTATAATTACTGCTTAAAAATTTTTAATATATTAATAATAAATATTCAATACTCACCATTGTGATAGGAATGAAATATAAATAGAACACCTGGAACAAACGAGAAAAACATTTATTATACCATTAATTTCTAAAAATTTCTAAAATAAAAATAAAATATTTGTATCTAGATCATATATAGCTATTATACGATTAAAAATTAAAAAGATTTCTAATAGAAAATCGGATTTTAAAGAATTATTTAAAAAATCAGTACGAACCTTATCAACTTATAACCGGAAAAAGAATATATTTTCATAAGAGATTGTATCAAATCAGCAACAAGATATTGTCAAATATAAAATTATATAATAAAATTAAAAATAAAAATATTATTAATTAAAATAATCAATTAATTTTACATTATAAATGATTTTTAATATATAATATAATATTTTATTATAGATATTAAAAATTTATATTATATGTATATATATATATATATAAATATTTATTATATATATATATATAAATATAATATATATGTGTACAAGTCTATATTTATACAATAGTAAAAATATTTTATATTTATTCAAAATAGAATGATTAAAAATTACTTTTCAATCATAAATATAATTTCTTTTATTAAGATATTCAAATTATTTTATTTAGTGATATAACATATCAAACTAAACATATAAAATCTTTTTTAATAATATTTATATATAGAATTTTCCTTTGCTATAAATACTAGAAAATATTGATTAATTTCAAATTTCTATTTAAAATTATAAAAATTAAATGTTATATAAATAGCTTGAATTAAAATAAATTAAATTTTAATTTTAAAAATATACATAATATAACATAAATATATAATTTTATCGTTATCGTATTAAGATATATTATAAATTTTATTTTTTTATATTAATATATATTATAATAAAATTTATATTAAATTTAATTAATTACAAAGAAAGACATTTTTTGAATTTGGCGCTATCCAATTGATAATTCAGTTGTCAATTATATATAGATGTTCCGTACATGCTCCGTCAGTCATCTTTTCATATCACGATTACAAGAGTACAGTATACGCAACGAGAGTCCGAGAATATATTTGTACGCGATTAGTGCATTTGCATTGTAACTGAAATTAATTTTTCATATTTTTTAATTACGTGAAATTGTGTTATTGAAATATTGTTTCAAAAATTAAAAAAAGAATGGATAGTCCATTACCACATATTATGGAAAGTGCGGATTGTGATGGTTTAACAAAACCAAAAGACAGGTTATTCAGCCTTCTTGATCAGATCGAAGTACATGTAGAACAATTGAGAAAAGATGCTTGGAGACTCGAAGAAGAAAGGGATACTCTCTTAACAACCTTAGATACTCTTAGAAACAATGAAATTCTTAGTGCATTAGAAGAGAGTAAGTATTAATCTTAATTATATTTTGAAAATAAAAGATTAGTTCTAATATATCTAGAAATATCTTAAAAAGATTTTTATTATATGAGTATATTAAGAATATAATTAATAAATATGTTATATATTATTTTTATATTTCTATGAAACAAATTATAAAAGAATATTCAAAATTATATATTTTTAAAAATAGCTGACAAAGATGATGTGCTGAGATATGCTGAAAGATTGTCTATGCGATGTTTAACAGTTGATGTATTGGTTAAAATTCAACGTGATCAGATTCAAGAAGAAGCATTACATCAAGTATTAATCATATTATTATATATTTATATCATTTATTGTATATTTTATATCAAATTAGTATTAAAATATATTTATATATATTTTTTAATATAATTCTTAACAATATAAATTGATTCATTTAGGTAAATGGTTTGATTGATAGTCTAGTTGTTGGTCTTCGTAATGATCCAGCTGGAACTCGACAACGTTGTGCATCTTTTATGAATGCTTGTACCTCACAAAATGTTGGCCATTCTGATAAAAATTTTGAAACAGCAATTCTTGGATGTACTATGGATGATCAAAAACGAATAAAAAAAAGATTACAAGGATTATTAGATTATATTGATAAAATGCATACAATTCAATTACTATGAAGCTATATTGAAAATAATTGATTTTAAAGAAAACTGAATAAATCACTCCTTAAATGAGCAATAGTTGTTCTAAAGGAGATTTGCAAAAAGTTACTTAAGGCAGGGTGCTTCATGATAATTCAATGATGATTTTTATGGTAAATGTAAAAAAAGTATTATATAATGTGAATTATTTTCCCTATATATATTGTTTCTATGCCTTACTGTATGTGTAAGTAAGGTTTTATGAATATTACATTTGTATTTGAAATTAATTATGGTAGGAAGTATAAATATAAAATTAATATAAAAAAATATTTTCATACATAATATATTCACATAAAATTTTTTAATAAAAACTAAGTTTGTGTATGTTTTAAATAGTTATAATATATAAATAAAATAAAGCTATGTTAAGAATAATAATTTTATTAGAATCTATATTTGAAAAGAAGGAAAATGAATAATATAAATGTGTGTAAATCATGACATTTTATATTCATTGATCTTTAATGATTTAATTGTGAGTAAATACTTGCTAATTTTCTTTTTTCTTTAAAAGATATAAAAACATAACATATTATTAATATTTTTATAGTATTTGTTCTTTGTGTGGATATTATACTTATGTGATTACTGATTGACATATGATATACTTATGTTATTATCTATAATTTATTATTATCTTAACTATTTAAACTTAATAATGCTTCCTACTATAAAAAGACTATTAAGGAATGTTAATGAAAATTACATATAAATTATAATTATAGATTTGATCTTTTAATATGTTAACTGTTATTAATGGTTATAACTTTATTATATTGTAGATAAAGTTATCATATTTTATATAAAATTTATAATTTTCTTTATATTACAATTATTATAAAAAAAAATAAGAATTTCATATACAGTTTGGCAAGATTTTCAAAAGTTATTTAATTTATGTGAGAATTAATTTTTTTTTATTTCATGTTATTGTATAATGTAATTATTTCGTTGTTAAAATGATTATTAATATATGATATAGTGCATAGATATATAATTTTTATTCACTTTTTATATATTTAATTAACATATTCTTTATATCTGATACATACAAATTCAATTTTAATATAAGTTTGAAATTCAAAATAACCATATAATTCATAAAAAAAATTTAAGAATTTAATTTTGCTGATATCTATTTTTATGTAATAAAATCCATAATATAATACTTTTAATTTAAATAGAATACAATAAATCAAAATTTATATAAATATATTTTTATGCATTCTATAATATTTATTTTTCTTTGTAAATTCTTTACAATTTTCTTGAGGTATTAATATAAATTAAAATATAGATTAAAAAAATAATTAGATATAAAAATTACAACGCTTTATTTTTATTAATAACTTGCATTATCATTCACAAAAAATATTGTTTATATTAATATAATATTTTCTTTCTTATAAACTAGCATATTTGGTTAACCATTATATCAGTATTTGTTTATATATAAATTAATATATATTTCAATATTTTTTAAGAATTGGAATTCTTTAAAATTCCTTTAATTATTTTATAAACATGCTATTTTATTCAATTATGATATTTAAAATTATATCATTTTTTTTATTAATTACTTATAATTTAACTTAATTCAGTATGTGAATAGTCAACATTACTATGTTCATCTTCAATACAAAATATATTTACAAAAATATGAAAATTTCATGTTTTTAATAAAGATTATAAAAGATATATATTTGATTGAGAAATAAAAAATCATACAGGGAACAAGAAGAAATATATTTACACATATTCATAATAACATTAAAACATTTAGAAAAACTAATATTTAATAAGAGAAATTCAATTTATAAAAATATTTCAGTATAAAAGACTATTTTTTTATTATATTTTTCTTTTTATTTTGTACTTTATACTTCTTAAATTCTTTTTTTTTTTTATTTAATAAAATTATTTGAATAAAGTTATATAAATTAGGATTATTTTTTCATTTATAATTATAATAAATATTCAATATGTAATTGAAATAAACTAGAGACATATAGTGATAGTGATTCTATATATAATCAAAGCAAGTGTATATTACAAATTAATCGACATAACAATATTGTTTAAAGATAATTGCATTAATTCTTTCTTGTTATGTTTTTGATACTTTACGTTGTACGTATTTTATAATAATCTTAAATTTGTAAGTGTCGAAATATTGAAATGAAAGTTATTTATATCTTCATAAATATAAATATATCAATCTGTACATGATTAAAGCATTCATTATAATTTTCATATATTTATCCAAAAACTAAAGCAATCTACAAGCATTTTTTACAAAATTCCTTTTCTTATGATTCTTTGTCTTGGCTCCTGACCGCAAAACTATGGTACCATTCCCCATACTCCGACCACATGTGGATCCATTTGGACTAAATGCGCCTACAACATATATATATGCATATATGTATGTATGTATGTATGTATGTGTGTGTGTATATATATATATATATATGTATATATATATATTTTCATAAATTACAAAATTATTAAAGATCTAAAGAGAGAGATAAAGATATCTTCTATTAAAATTTCATATTCATATGTTAATGTATATTACATAGATATATACTTCAAATTGTTTTATATATATTAATTAAAGTATTTTGTTACTTCTGTAAATACTATATATTCTATAAACAATTTGTAGAATTTATGTTTACAAATAAACTAATTATATTCGAGTAATTATTATATTGTATAATTTTCTCTATTTATGTTCAATTACATTAAAAAGAAACTCAATCGCATTAAATAATTAAGATATTAAAAATCAATTCAATGTGTGTAAAGATTTCATACTTAATTTCCATAATATTACAAGTATACTTGTGAAACAATTTAAAAATTCTCTTAATATCTTTGTAATTGTCTTTTTTTTTTTCATTTTAATATGACAATATATCATTCTAATCATTATACTTTGTTATATATTTATTGTACAGTTACATCACACAAGAATATAATTCTTTCTTTATTTTTATATAATTTTTTTTTCTTTGATTGAGACATAATTCATTTTTAAATAAATATATATTTATTTTATGAGAATTTAATTTAATTCAAAATCAGAAGTTCTTTATGTCATAACTATCGAAACAAAAAGTTCGCTTTCTGAACAATGTTCGATAAAACATAAAATATAAAAATCAGTATGTATTGTATGTACATTTATATGTTATCAAGATCAATGCTATTAATCATGCGATCTGAAGATATATCTTTGTATGTATATACATGTTTATATCTTACAGGAAATTATCTAAAATTTTTGATAGTAATTCTAAATAACATTAATGAATATTTATTTTTGATATTTTCGTATTTCACGAAACTTTCTTTTATTGTACTTTAAATAATTAAGATAAAACATTATATATTTAAAATCATATTTAGACATTTTTAAATTGTTCATAGTTCTTCTTTTTTTTTTGAAATAAATCTTATAGAGAAAAATCATTAAAAAATATTTAAAATTGTTTCATATATTTCTTATTTAGATAAATATTCTCTTCAAAAAAAATTACAAATTTATTATATATAATATTTATTGTTAGTTTATCTATAGATTTCATTATATTACATAACTGTATATATATATATATATATATAATAAAATAATTTCATTATTAATACATAACTGATTAATAATGATTAATAAAATACAATATTAATGATACATTTATCTTTTAAATCTCAATTTAAATTAAAAAAAATCTCATTTAATGTTTTTTTCTATGATAAATTCGTTTTTATCCATAATAAATTAGTTCTGATATGAAAATATTCTTCAAATTTGAAATAAAAAATATATTAAAGGAAAAACGATAGAAATCTATTTTGAATTCGATTTGATAAATCTTTACGAGTCATAAAACATACGTCATAAATATATAATATATCGTCATAATATACGAGTCATAAATATGATGACGATGTATCAATGTTAATACATTATGCATCTTTTCAAGCAGTTTTCAAGAAAGTTTTAACTTTATTTTATTAAAATTAAATCATAAATAAATTTATAAAAATAATTTATTAAGAAAATTATTAAATGTTATATTGAAAAGAATACTGAAATACTGAAAATAGTAATTTTTTATTTTTAATCATCAAAAATTAGCTTTATTATTATATGATTATATAATTTTTATATTGATTCAGTGAACCGATTATATATTATTTTATCGATATGCATCATATTTATTTTTCTTGCATTATGAATATCTTAGTATCCTATAAATAACTTCTAATTAATCTAGATTCATGTATGACTAATATAAAAAGATATTTGTTCAGATTTTTTAAAATAAAATCTTATATCTTTTATTCATTAAAATATTTTTCCTGTTATAGAATAATAAGTCTACAGCAGAATGAAAGTATTGAAGAATTAAATATATAACTATCGCATTGAGGAATATCACACGAAAGAATAAGAAAAAAGCAAAAAGTAGTTACTTATTACAGAAGGAGATCTAGGTCCGGCAGAATATAATCTCAAATCGTCCTGATAATCGTCATCACAGCGACGCATTTCGTGAAGACATCGTGACGCCAAATGCCGGAAAACGCTCATAACTCCGACATCCTCTTTCACTGATGTTCTTAAAAGCTTACAACCTAGGATATGACCAAGCCTTTCAGCTTCATCCCTGAAACAATGCTATGCTTGAGATTATTTGAAATTGCACTATTAATTAAGCAAACTAGATGTTACGCTTACAGATCAATGACGCATTGATCAACAAGGTCCATCTTATTTTGTACAAGAACTGTGGGAATTTCACCGCACTCATTTTTTACCTGAAAAAAACAGTCTGCGAATCAGAATTCAAAATTTTTTTTTAATTAATATTAACAAAGTAGCTATATTTTAAACAATCAAAAAAGAGAGGGAGAAAACTATCATTAAATTAATTTGAAATATAATTACGGTTTTATTTAATTAGTTTAAATTTATAGAAAAATATAAATTATAATAAAAAAATTATATCTGAATAAAATACAATTCGCAATGACACATTTATTTACATAATTATATTCATTATGTATTTATATCTATAAAACTTAGTTACTTCTGTCTCGTTTGTGTTTCTCCGAAAAAAAAGAAAAAAAGCGAACGTATGAGTTTCTATGAAAGAAATTCAAGAGAATGTTCAATGATTTCGAACTATAATCAGAATTGTTCGCTATAAATAATTAAATATTAATTATATTATTAAATATAATTATATTATTAAAATCAATAGATATATATTCATTATTTTATTATAATATTTCATAACACATCTA